TCATGCCACTTTTTTCTTTTTTTAGCATCACCTGCCAGTATTATGTTTTAAACCCTTTATTGGTAAACAGTTTAAAAAATGAGGACTAGCTTTTGTTTTAGTTTCTTTGTTTATTTAGCCGGTGTGAATCCATGTGAGGTGAGCAGAGTAAATCAACTAGTGCTGGAAATGACCAAATTCAAAGATCTGTAGAGGCACAAAAAATTTAGCAGAAAATGATCAATAAAACAAATGAAATCTGCTTCAGCTGGCTACATAAATTACTGCAGACACCAGGAATTGAACTAGCATCAACACTTGGCAAAACTAGGTCAAAGGTAGTTGCTTTAATCACTGGATTATCAAGGCTAACATCAGACTGGCCTAAAACTCTGTTGTAGGTGTATTTTGTCAGAGTTGGGGTGGGCGGAGCTTCACTGAAACAGTTTCTAGGTATAAATTCAAGCAGACGAAAATAACTCATATTTAAGATAAAATGACATCTCTATAGTATTTTATCGTACCTTACCTTTGCTTTCAAAGATTTAACATAGCACTACCTGGCTCCTTAGGGAGGGGATGGAGTATAACGTGTGAATAAAATTACGGACACATAATATGCACATTTCCTCAAATATGCGACAACTACTTAAGCAAAATTGCAATTTTTTTGCATTTTTGTGCCAAATGTTTTGTGTAACTTGCCCCAAAAGTTTTAATTTCTTTATTTTATTTATTTGTATTTTTTATTTAGATTCAAACTCAAAATGTTGCCAGTTTTTCTTTTTCTATGTTGTTTCTCCAGCTTGTGGCTAATCAACACAGCTAAGTGAGGTGCTGGCTCTAGGGTTGACTTTCATTTGCACCGTGCAGATGTGTTGTTCATTTATTTATTTATTTATTTCGCACAAATGCCACCAAATTTATAAACTGCAGTACTTCAGCTAATTGATTTGTCGTTATAACAGGTAACACTCTGCATTATACTTGTTGCTCTAAAGCAATGAAAAAGTCTTACATCTCTGTGTGAAAAAATCAGATTTTGTGTGGCGACCACCTTCTGCCTTACAAAATAAAAGATTGCTCTTATTTATTCATGTGTTCCATTCATTAGTTATAACATAAAAGGCTTTTTGCACTTATTATAGAAAATAGTTTACTCCTCGGACCAGGAGTTGCGTACAGAAGCACAGTTTTGAATACTTGTTATTTATTATTTTAATAATCAAAAACAGAGATTTCAAGACTGTTCAGAGGCACAGATATGTTTGTTCTGACAATACTCAATTCAGTGTTTAACTGATGGTGGCTAGTGCTGTAATTCAACAAAAATGCAGCAAATGTGGGTTAATGATGAGCAATAGTTCCAAATGTGTTGCAGCCAGCTGCCGAAACTATCCTGAATAAATGTTGCCAGAGAGATGTGAATGCATGTTCAAGCTTTGACAAAATAAGAGAGTTGGGTGTGAGGTATGAAAGCACAGAGTGCAGCTTGGAGCTTGCAGTCATGGCTGGGAGAATAATTTGCATAGGTAGGCTTATGTGTTTTCCACCTTGTCCCTTTCATTGTTTTCATGTGACAACTGCCTGACAGCCAGGAAAATGGGACACTAGCAAGTGGAGAAAAAAGGGTTGAGTCTGGATTTTGTCTCCTTTAGAAAAGAAATGACAAACCCACCAGTTTGATATCCTCAGCCGCCTGCAGTGGCACAGTGATGGAGGAACGAAAACACTCAGTCCAGGAATAACTGCTTCTGGCGTTTCAATGGAGTGTGTTAGGAGCACTATTAACCCCGTCTGTAAGTCGGGGGTTTAGGGTCACGAGAGCGCTCCTTGAGATTTTGAGATTGAATTTGAGATGAGGATTAATGAAGAACAGCTTCAAATTTGCTGTAGTTTGGCCTTTCAGACACAGGTCAACTATGGAGGCATGTCTGAGAGGATTAATTCCTAGTGAGGCCAGCCTACCCCCCTGGTCTCCAGTTTATCCCTAAAATCCTCCCGAGTTCAGTGGCGCCTGACTTTAATGTTTGTGTTGAGATTTTACATCTTTTAATTTGAAGCATGTGCTTCTGCTCCCCGATCCTCCGCTGGGGTATCAAAGTGGGAAGATGGCAATTTCAGCTACTATGGACATATGTCAGCAACAACACTTGGAAGTCAGATTGGTGATAATCGCATCTTGAAGATTCCACCTCACCGTCCGTGCACGCACTGATGCATGCTCAGGCATACGTTCCTGATGCTTACCGGGCTGTAATCTTGAATACATGTCAGTCACTTCCTGCTGCCGTGGAAAAGGATTTGTGACTGTGATGTGTAGTTTAAATCTCATCCCTAGGACGAAAAGCTCGTTAAAATTGCAGCCGAGTGAAAGAGCTATAGGGTACGGATGGTTGGTTGGATGTTTTTATATAAGCTTACTCCTCCTTTCCACCAGTTGCGCGTTGCAAAACGACCGTTACAGCAGATGGTTTCCTGTTCACCGACCGAGAAGCGACACGTTTTAGACGTGGCCCAGAAGCATGGGGATACGTACGTTCCAGGTCTCTTTTTTTTTATGTGCTACGCTTCCAGAACACGCCAAACTTTGCCGTTTAGATCAGGCCAGACAGGAAGTCAAACGTGAAAGCACTGTAAAACGTTAAGAAATGTTCTAAATAAAAGCCACATGCACAGTTCAAGTCGCATAACTGGTAAAGAACATACATCATTACCTGAGAAACCTTTGTTTGTCTTTCTCCTTGCATGTTATTGTGTGAACTTCCAAAATCACTGAGATTTAGTGACCTCATGGGACCAGCTGCGTGGAACGCTTTCGCTCACGATTTGCATCTGAAGCGCTCCTGGTTGGTAGAGAGCTCAGTTTAACGCCGCTGTTACGTTACACGCCGCTCACTCCTCCGGTGGAGAGGAGGGGCTCGGTAAATCTAAAGGAGTATTTACAATTATAGATACAAAATAATTTCTGTGTTCACGTTCTTGCTACAGTTTTAGGTTCAAAATAATTAATGACACTTTAGAGTCAATGTGAACAGCCGTAATAGTCAATGACATCGACTATTATTCGCTTGCATCAAAATTTTTAGGCAACACACATTTTCAAATGAATTTTGCTTTAATTTTGCAAAAGTAACAGCTGTTTTCTCCAGTAACTAGTACTAGTTACTAGTAATATCTGTGTGTGAGACCAACATCTGATCCTACAACTGACTGATTAAAGCCGTGCAGATTTATAAAGCACATTTATTTTGCAGCTAATGTTAATTGTGATGCATAACATAAGTCAATCATTTATATATAATAACAACTGCGGTAGATTCATGGTTGAAAAAAGCCTGTTGTGAGAATTAAGGCGTGTTTTTTAAATTTATGATGACTAATAAGAAGCTTTATTGTCCTCATGCTGTAATTATTTATGTAATGCATTTTATATTTTATACTTTATTATGTAACATTTTATTTTTATAAACACTAAATCATAAAGTTTAACAAGAAAACTGAAAATATTTAGATTTTTGGATGCAAATGAATAATTTTTCTTATTTAATATATTAATGAATAAGAAAGTCACTAATAAGAGGTTAGGGTAACATATTTAAACTGCAAAAATCTGCAAGCAAGAGAGTCAGGCTCATAATTAATTAGTTACAGAAAAAGTTCAAAAATAATCTAGCTTTACAATAAACTGTATTTTTAATATAACATGCTAATTAAATGGCAGAAAAAAGTTTGAGTCCACGAAGAAAGAAGTGGAACAATAGGACAGATTATCATGATTAAAGGTTTCCTGCTGTTATTATCCTCTTATCTTGGTTTCTGTTTCATTAAATCAGTTTTATTCAACCGCTTTTACATATTTTAAAACTAAACTAAACATGTCTTCTGTTTCATTTTATGTTAAATGTTCTCAGTGGTGTAAAGTTAGCAGTATTTAAGTGCAACACACAAGCTGTGACCCTCTTTCTGACCAATGCTTTTGAATGTGTGCAGTCCTATTATTGGGCACTTAGTGCCTGCAGGCTCACAGCATCTATGTTATTGGACATTCCTCGACTGCCTAAAGGAAACTCCTTGAGCCGTGACACCCTGCACCGTCTCTTCACAATGCAGAGGCAGAAACTGATGGTCCTTTATCAGGATGGTTCGGCCTGTTATGCGGACAAGAAATTGATCCTGCGTCTCGTTTTTTTTTGTCCACCGGTGTTATATCAGAAAACACACAGAAAGAAAACAGAAGAGCACTATAAAGCCATTGCAGGGTTTTCCCCAGCGTGTTCTCTGTGAGGGAAGTCTGGCAGGTCCTCTGTGTATAGAGCATAATGATTTACCCCTTTGTGCATGTCTCCGTGGGGCAGTCAGCTTGTCTGCGGTTTAGGTGATCCCCACCTTCCTTTTTAACGACTCCACAGATGAAACATGAGCAGACGGAGCTGGTAATAAGGACATCGTCTCACGTTGCCGAGGCTAGGGTCGTGCATGTCTGCACAGAGGCTATAGCGGTGAGCTAAGGTGTGCTCATTGTGGCGTCATGTCAGGTTTGACAGCCCGTCAATGAGATACACACTCCATTGTCATGTGCACAATGATGCTAGGTGTGGTGCCCAGTCAACCCCTGAGGGCAAAAGGATGAAAACACAGGTGGGGGGTGCTCTCCATGGTAGTCTGCAGTGTTGTTGTAAACACACATCAATGAAGTTTGATAGATGTACAGACTCTAAGCCGAGGAGTTGTTTTGTTTGGATTGTGGGAGATGACAGCCAGTTTGGATGCTTCATGTTTGGAAAAAGAGGAGTCTTGAAATTCAACATGATACAGTGACAGGCAGACACAAAGACGGGATGTTTTTTTTTCCCATGACTGAGCTGCAGGTATGCACAGCAACAATGGCTGTGTGGGGTTTCTCGTGGTTGCCTTTGTGAGAAGGAAGCGACACCTAAAGTTTACAATAATGCTTTAAACGTTTGTGCGTGGAGACGTCGGTAAAATCGCCTTCTGCTTCTGCTCCCGTCTTTTCCCAGGCTTGCCAAGTTTCATCAAAACCCCCGAAGACCAGACGGGCATCTCCGGCGGGGTCGCGTCGTTTGTGTGCCAGGCTACCGGAGAGCCCAAACCTAGGATCACCTGGATGAAGAAAGGCAAGAAAGTCAGCTCCCAGCGCTTCGAGGTGGGTGACTTTTCCACCAACAAACACGTGCATGCACATGTCTGATCATTATACAAGTGAGGGCAAATACAAGAGACACATGCGCTCGCAGCATTCACATGAATCACTTACAGTTAATAAACGGCCCTGTTTTCTCCGCCAAATGTGTCCTTGCACTTCATTAATCTATTTCCTTCTTTTGAGTGAAAATGGCCTGAAAGAAATGATTTAGGAGGGAGCTTCCCCTGTTTCATTGTAATGTCTAGATGTTATCACAATCTAAAAACACAAATGGCCCCATCAGACAGTCAAGAATTTGTTTTCACCAATCGAGCTTCTTGGTTAAAAGCCTAGCAAAAGAACGCGTTGGTGCAAACTGTTATTCTGAAGTAGAAATGGATTTTATTTTGTATCCAGCAATAAAGTAATATGTTTGGAAAAGAAAAAGAGGTCACTAAAAATAACATTTTTGCCCTTTTGCTTTGCTGCGGCTCTCACAGGTGATTGAATTTGATGATGGCTCGGGCTCCGTACTGCGGATCCAGCCACTGCGCACCCACAGAGACGAAGCCATTTACGAGTGCACAGCCACTAACAGTGCTGGCGAGATCAACACCAGTGCCAAGCTCACAGTGCTGGAAGGTAAGATAAGCTCTCCTTTTTTATTTTTCCTTTTTTTTTTTTTTTTTTGCTTGGTTTCTCTGTTCCTCCTGCTTTCAGTTCTACTACTTCCCATAAACTCTTTCCCCCCTTTCCCAGCTTCTAGTGGGTTTTGAAGTATTTAATTCCAGTCTGTCCAAAACACATATCAGTATTTGCCTAAATAATTCATACATAAAACTGTGATGAAGCTGTGGATTCCTGGCATTGGAGGTGTCATAGAGTAGCGTGTTTTTAAACACTGCGTACGGAATTTTATTGCTAAATTCTCCTTCGTCATGACTTCTAAAGCTCAACGAATGAAACGGAGAAAGATTCATGGTAAGTGAGTGAAATCCTAAAACATTCCACATAAATTGGTATTTTACTGCGTGTAATTTGAACTTTTAGAATTAAATAGGTGCATTTCCACTGTCTGAACTTCAGGGTGAATTTACAGGAACTTCCCGGTCCGTGTGTGTCTCCACTCGATCAGGCCAGCGCCATTTTCAGGAAATGTCAGAGTACCTGATCAGGTGGAGTTGCAGAGCAGAACTTTTGGTTAACTCAAAGCGAGTGGTTGTAACTCAGTAGGAAATGACATCAGCAGATGTTGTCTAAAACAACCGGCGTTAATAAAATTAGAAGAGTTGCTTGTGAAGAATGGAAGTGAAAGTCAATAAGCACCAATTGCATTTAAAATTGCCATTACTAAACTCCCGACCCCAGAAAACATGGCGGAATTCCTCCACGATGTCGTTGCTAAACTCAGACATGTGAAAATATGGCGGATTTCCCCCACATTGCAGTTACTTAAAGGTGCATTATGTAGAAAAGAAGTAAAAATGACATCCTGTGGTAAAATTTGGTTACTGCAATCACTTTAAACTGTTTTTGCTGGCTGTTGTCAAATTACAACTGTCTGCTTTGCAGTATTAGCTCATAGGAGACACGGCAACCCCACACTCACCGCTGGTAAACTGTAGTTACGTACCTCCTTCCTTTGTTTTGAAAGGAGATAAACTAACAATTCCCACTGGATATGAAATCTGTTTCAGTACAACCTTCCTTCCAGAATGGCTGAAACATTAGGTTCGTTTGGGAGTTTCTCACTGTAAGATTCTCACTATATTCGTACATACTGCACCTTTAACTCTCAACACTGAAAAACATGGCGGAATTCCCCTATAACTTAATTCACGCCGTAAAAACGGAGCTCCTTCCGGTCATTAAACTGCTCTTGTGCTCCGAATGGATTCAGTTCTGATACACTTCACTACAGAATAAAAATTTAATGCTATTAATGTGACTTTGGTCGCTTTTTGGTGCTGATCAGTGACATCACTCACAATATGCTGACATCCGTGCAAAGTCCTGAAAAGATGAATTTGTATGGAGACACACCAGCTGAGAGGAGTGGGACATCTCCCGCTCCATTTCTCCCTCCCAGACTTTACCCTGAAGTTTCGACAATGGAAACACGCCTACAGCTTCACTTAAAACAATATTTTGGTTTTTGACCATTTTCCAATTGGAATATCCCATCTCCTTTCCTGGCTACACAGAAATTAATTTCATTAGAAATGTTGAAGTGAAAATCTCTGGAGTTAGCCAGAGGGAGGATTAAGGCTGTCCATTGCCATTACACTGGCATTAAAGCAGATCTTCTCTCATTCAGCACATCTCATGATTTAAATCCGTCTTCCTTACACCCACCCATCCTTTATTTGCCCCTTCGTCCAATGCTGATTTGATGATATCATCGTCTCGGCTTGCGTAATCTTCCTGAAGGGAATTTTCTTCATTGCAAATAAAGGTTTTCTATTTAGACCCTTCACTTTCATGGCATCATGAAGACTGATGTTGGCTGTGATGGCGAACATCACTTAACACGACCCGAAGCTCTTGTGCGTGTGATGAGATTAATCACAGTTTCAGCGTTCGAGGGCGAAAGCGGACACCGAGGTTGGATTCTCTCAGTGTCAACAGACATCAGCGAACAACCGTTCTCATCAGCAGTCGCGCTTCGTGTCAAGCTGTCTTTTCTGTCATCATGGATAAACATACCAAACTGACACCTCGTCTTAAGTCGTAGTCGTGGGGCTTTACTTATCTGATGCGTGCATGAGATCGTTTCTGGATTTGTTTGTGTTAGCAACGATGTCTGTGTTTTGGGTTTTCTAAAGAAAAGAAAAAAGTCTCTTTATGTTTGCGTGCTAAAAGCTCTGTTGAACTTTATTTCGAAGCTGATATTCTAAACTGAGAGAGGGAGTTGCTGAATACCACTACCCGAATCCCCTTTCAGCTCATTGTTTTGGTCGCAAAACCAAAAACAATGTAGGCTCGTAAAACCCCGCAGACAGCTGTTCTCAGCTTACAAACTCCAGCGAGCTTCTTCTGCGTTACCTGCCCAGAGCGAAATGGCAGACAGCCAAAGTAAACTGGTGAAGTTGATGTCTTTGTCAAAGTTTTTGGAAATGTGCACAGAGGGAGAAAACAAAAACAATACGTTTGTGTCTGAATCTGAACTCCGATAGGACATCTCTGAGTTGTCTCTCTGTGTTTGGTGTAGACGTCTACCAAAAAAGAAAGCTTTATTGAATGATGCTGCGTGAAGCATCTGGCTATGACATTATGGAAAATTTGAGAGTTTAGCTGTGCTATTTAAGCTAATAGGTGCATCTATTACATCGTATCAAACAGTACCCATAACCGTGTGATCATGACCTGCCTACCCGACACTGACCCCTAAACACAAACCTGCCCAGATTAGGGGAAACCAATTAGATGATTTATGATCAGCGATGAAGCAGTTGGTGTAAAAGGTTTCCATTGTAACGTTTCGATTAGTATTGTTTTTAATTGAATTCCCCATGTTTTCTTGATTGTATCATTTACCCTTTTACCAGCAGGTCAACCACTTGATAGGAGACATTTTAGTCCCTACATGTAATTAGAGCGAACCAAAGTGGAAAATATATAGTAAACTAAGCAGATTATAAAGGGGCAGCAGTAGCTCATGAAGTAGAGCAGGTTGTCCAGTAAGCGGAAGGTTGCAGGTTAGATCCTGACTCCGACCAGAGAATGCTGCTGTTGTGTCCTTGGGCAAGGCACTTAACCCGCCTTGTCTGCTGGTGGTGGTCGGAGGGACCGGTGGCGCCATCGTTCGGCATTGTTGCTTCCGTCAGTGCGCCCCAGGGCAGCTGTGGCAACACTGTAGCTCATCTCCACCAGCGTGTCAACGTGTGTGTGAAGGTGAAAGACTACTTGTGTTGTGAAGCGCCTTGGAGGGTTGTAGAATCCTAAGAAGGAGCTATACAAATACAGGCCATTTATATAAAAAAAATTGTCACAATGAAGAAGATGTAAACCTAAAAAGTCATCATTTGGAATATACGTTTTAGTTATAGCTCCCTTGTTAAAAGCCACATTAGTCAGAGGTTAGGTACATGCACATTCTTGGTAAAACTTCTAAAATTAAAGATTAAAGCTCCATAGTTGTCACACACACCAGTGGTGTGGTGAAAACTGTCCTCCACATTTGACCCACCCCCGTGGTGAGCGGTGAGCTGCAGACACGGCCGTGCTTGGGAACTATTTGGTGGTTTAAATACAAAATGCGAAAGGTTTTAGTATAACCGGTATGATATAATCTTTCCAGCCTTAAAGCTTCAACCTAACCAAACTGGAACATAGTTTTTATTTATTTTGTTTTTCACAATAAGAGTTGAGCAGATGCACATGCTAAATAGGCATCATTAGGAGTCTGAATAATCCAGTTAGACTGGCACTACTTTGTTAATCATAGTAAATTTATTCTCAGGAACCATAAATGTTTTCAACAGTTGCATCCTTATAACTCATCTATTGTAACCTGATTAACACAATCTTCACATATCTCATCATATCGGTTTATATTAGACCACAAATGCCAGGGATGGGTAAACATGGTTAAGTCTTGCCCTGCCTTTCCACAGAATCCTGTGTTTGTTTAACACACACACACACACACACACACACACACACACACACAGGCAGGGGAAAACCAGAACAAACATCATGTTCCATCTAAACAGCTATTTGATTCTGCTTATTGATAACCCAGAGGCTGACTTCACACATGCACATTAAAAACACACACACAAGCATGCACACACACATTTGTGTTTTACTCTGTGGTTTTACTTCATCCAGTGTTGTAGACACACTCAGTACTAACGCGCAAGGCCACCAACGTCAGCTTTGCTCTATTTTTAGACCATTGTTTTTTAGCCTCGTGATACATCAAGTTCATAACAGCAGCAACACACAGGAAAAGCCTCGGGCAGCACCAAACCGATGGAGACTAACGATCCTCGACTTTAGTGGACTTCTGACAGCCCGAAGGTTTGAGACAGCTCGTGTCACATGTCAAGGTGTTTTTTTTTACTCACTTCGGTGGACAAAATGATTAAATCTCAATAAAGTGAACAAACACCTGGCTGAGATTCTGCCACAGAAGTTTAACATGCTGTCCGTGCGTATTGCAAGAAGTGCAGGCATCTGCTGTGCAACTGCAGGCTTCCTGATATAAATGTATGAAGCAAAAGGAAGCTGAGCATTGCTTAAAAAACCATGTCACGTCTCCGTCACCCTCCACTGAATACAGGTTAAAAAATGACTTCATAAGCAAAAATGTCTTCTGTTCCATTTGAAAAGAAAAAACATGAATGCAAGTGCACGTGATTTTTATTTATTTTTTTTTGCATACGCATGAAGTTTTTATAACACTCTATGAATTCCCCAATCCAGAGATGCAACGAGAAAGTCATTACAGCACTAAGTCGATTTGGATTATAGGTTTTAGCGGAGCAAAGGAAGGTCGAGCATTAATTATGATTATTTTGCATATTGGCTCTTTATTTTCTCCTGCCAATCCTGCAGAAATGTGGATTATGACAGTCATCCCAGCGCAGAGTTACAAAGCATTCAGCAATCTAGAGGCTGTGCTTCTCTCAGAAAAA